GAGTTATTCCACCGTACCTTGTCCTGATGGACTGAGACTAAGTCTGATGATAGACACTAGTCATAGGACTCAGCTGAATACACTTCTGTCTTCATGGCAATGGAGGGGCAAGCGCCTTGGCTCCTGAAAGCAAAATTTAGAAAAACGGATGATTGCCAATGGGTGAGAATATTCCTATGATAAAATGCTATAAAAGCCAAAACAGCAACCAAAGAGCTTACAGAAGAGATAAATAGAGTATACTGAAACAAAAGGACAGCTCAAAGTGGCTCCTACAGCTAGAATGGCTGGATAAAAGAGAAGATTGTTCAGCCTGTCTTTCCTCCAAAAATCCGCCATTTTACCACCACTTTGGGTGCGCGTTAATTAGAATCTTTTAAGTGCAAAAGGTCCATTGGCAGTATTATTGCTTATTATGAATGCTTAGAGCTTGTGCTAGATAGTACCTTGATAGTACTAATTTGTAATGATGCAGCTAGACCAGGTGCATATCTGTGTTGACGTATTTTTCACTTATTCTATTTTAGATTAGCAGAACCAGATTGAGTTGTCCCAATCATGCATGTTCATTTCCGTGAGCCTGATAAGTAAATTTATGTATATATATACAATGTCTATATAATGGTTTTTAAACTCCCAATAATTAAGTTTTTGTTATCATCTGAATATATGAGCAAATGCCTGAATTGTGTCTATAATTTGCAAAATGGTACAGCACCTTGTATCAAATTGTAGTAGCCTTGCTAAGTGCCTATAATTTGTCAAAAAATTTTGGCTATGCACCTGCCATTGTATAGGTCCATAATAGCTTGAAGTAGCAATTTAGTCAAAAATTCTGAGAAATTTTCTGCAGTTCATGACTATTGTACATTAATTATAAATACGTTTTACATTTATGTTCACATTTGCAATCCCTGCTATTGTAGCAAACAAAAGTAAAATTATATGATTGACATTTCAAACAACTCCATTACTATATAAAGTTTTAGAAATTTTGTATTTTAATGAAATAAACAGTATTAAAATTAAAATTTGAAGTAGATCCTTAAAGGGCAACCGACACGAAAAATTGGGTTGTGATTAAAAATAAAAAATATTTTCATTATGGGTGTAGCAATGGCTTGCAAAAATACTTTTGGTGCAAAATAATTGCTCTTTCCTGGAGAAAAACTGCTTTTAAAATGCATAAATTACTTCCTCATTTCTGCATCCTGTATTTAGCAA